CCGGTAGCATCAGCTCACCGATACCACTGCGGGGACCACTGGCCAGTAGCCGCACGTCATTAGCAATCTTATTGAGACTACAGGCGAGCACATTGAGAGCGCCGGACAGCTCGACAAACGCGTCGTGAGAGGCCAGGGCTTCAAACTTGTTGGGCGCCGGCCTGAAGTTCAGTTGCGTTATGTCCGATACCTGTTTGGCTACGTTCGCATCCCAGCCCACGCGGGTGTTAAGACCGGTGCCCACAGCCGTACCACCGATCGCCAGGTAATACAGCCGGGGCTCCAACGCGGCTTTGATGCGGTCTATGCCGTACTGGACTTGCGTGGCGTAGCCCGAGAACTCCTGGCCGAGGGTGAGGGGCGTGGCGTCCTGTAGGTGTGTCCTACCATTCTTGATGATGGCGGCGAACTCCCGTTCCTTGGCTCGCAGGGCGGCCAACAGTTTGCTGAGAGCGGGCAGTAGTGCGGCGTTGGTCTCGACGGCGGCCGCGATGTGCATAGCCGTGGGGTACGTGTCGTTAGAGGACTGCGATTTGTTCACGTGATCGTTGGGGTGGACGGACCGGTCGCCACGCTTTCCGCCTGTGAAGGGAAGGGTATGCCAATCAATGGGTCAGTAAACAGATAAATACTATACAAGTGGTGGTCCTATCAACTGATTGTCACTTTACGGGTGATCTACCAATTGGTGATCATCTCTAATGTGTGAACAACCAGTCGGCGGACACCTAAGACTCGTAGGCTCAGAGGTAATCAACTAATCGGTGATCACTTAACAGGTTGTCAGCCAATTGGCGGTCATATATAATAGACTATCAATCGGTGGTAACCTAAGAGCCTTAGCTCACGAGGCAATCAACTAATCGGTGATCACTTAACAGGTTGTCAGCCAATTGGCGGTCATATATAATAGACTATCAATCGGTGGTAACCTAAGAGCCTTAGCTCACGAGGCAATCAACCACTCGCTGCTCACCAACACATACCTAATATCTCTGCGGCCCTATTGGCGATCACTTCATTGCAGTTCATATTAGTCTGCGTACCGCTGCCCGTCTGCCATATCACTAACGGGAACTCCTTATTCACCTCCAGTTTG